CAAACATTGAGAGTGGCAAAGAGGCAGGCTTACAGATGTTGCAGCCTTACCATCATCACTTGGCATGCAATAAAAAAGGCGGGGGATTAGGTTCATATTCAAAGAGATTTGAAACTCTAACTCTTGGGCAGTGGGTTTTGCTTTTCCTCAATTCAGAAACGAAGCTGATTTTTACCAGTCTTTAATGAAATTGTAAGACATCCTTATAAAATCCTTTGGCTAATAAACAGGGTAAGTTTCTGTTTGGGAATGGAATATAATGCAAGAGCTAATCTCTTGTTTCATAGCCAGCGCTGTTTCCTGAGGCCGTGACACACTCAAAGGTTTTTATCTTTGAAAAGGACAGGTGGCTGAGAGAGCTTGAGGTCTGTAGGATGAGAAAGCTGCTTGGATTTTGCTACTTTAGCAAATGTTTCATGATCTTTTTTTTTCCTCCTTTTTTTCCTCCATCCCAAACAAAATTTCAGCTTTATTTTCTTCCAGCTAAGAACTTTACAAATGCTAAAGTCTTTTTGATCTGAATAAACTGCGGGCAAAAAATTTACAGGTATTGTAGGGCACTCGTGCAGAAAAAATAGGAAAAACTACAACTAGTTACCTACAGAGCAATAAGTGAAAATTCATGTGGTATCTGGTAGTGCTGCTAATTCGAAATTAGTAGATAATCAAAATAATTTTTAAAAAAGAAAACATTTTCTACATGGATAATAAAGTAGTTTTGTTTCATAAAGCACCACCTCCTTCTAAATACTTTGTAAGGGAATTGATGAAGGTATTTATAGATCTGTGAAAGGATAACATAGTCATTGTAGTGTGCTCCTTACAGGGGGGCATGATCAAAGGGTTTGGAGATACGTATACATTGTTCTCCTAAACCTAAAAGGGAATAATTCCTTTTTCCATGCTTTTCAGTGCTCTTTGGATTTGCCTTCTCTTTTGTGAATAGCCAGCAGTGAATTGGTGCTCCAGTTTGCTGTTCTGAAGCTTCTCTCCTCATTGCCAGCACACCCTATCCAAGAGGGACCAGCACGTTTTCAGTGTTTGCTTACCAACCCAGCTACCTAAGTTATAATGCTAAAAAAAAAACAAACATTTTTAGTTTGTAAAATGTTGTAATCCTGTTTCTAAGGAATTTTGGAAAACCTGTGCAGATTAAAATGAAATTCTCCCAGTGCATATGTGAGTAGCTTGCAGTTAAAAAAAGGGTATTTTGCAACATTGTGTGCTTAACTTAGAGATTGTCAAGTCAAAGGGTTGTCGCTGAGTTACCCCTTAGCCTGTTTAATTCTTTACCTAAACGTGGTGCATGAAAATAGGAATTTTCTTTCCACACGGCCTGATTGCATTTAGAACTAGCCCACTGGTACTTTGACTGACTTTCAAGTAAAGATTAGGGTTTTACAGACATTTAGGTATAATTTTCAAATTTGTTTGAAAACTGCTGCCCAGAATTACATTTCTGTCAGTTAAAAAATAGTTTGCACATGTTAGAGCCACGTGGCTTCTCAGTCTTGCTTTAAGAGGGGAAAAAAAACCCAACCAACCAACCAGTTTCTCCTCTTCTCCTCCCTTCCCTCCCCCCCCCCCCCAAAAAAAAAGCTCGTAAAAAACAACACAGTTGATGAAGAGTTGCAGATTTGCATCAAAATTCCGAAGTACCATCTGTGTACTTAAAATTGACATCTTTATATTTTCTAAACTGAATTGGTGAATATCACAGTGTTCTAATTAATGTGCCGGAGCAGGTGATATGTTTTTGATGTTAAATACAGAGGCCTGAAATTGCTGCCAATTTGAACTGATGCACCCAAAGTGTGAAAAAAGCGTATGTGCAGGATACATAAAACCTAAGCCAGAAAGCTGAGGGTGTCCATTTGTCAGAGAGGTTATCTGTCACGACTGGCAGTCCATCCAGTTAGCATTGAGACTTTGCATGGGAAAACCCAAATTATCAGGTAAATCTCTAAGGAGGGAGGAAACTCGGAAAACAGAGCTCTGACTTGGCTTGATTTTTTTAGATGCAGACAAATGTTTTCTTGGTGTTTGTTTTATGACTGTTGTACTAAGTGTGTTTATAGAATGCTTTTGCTCCTCTAAACAAGTCTGACTCTGATAAAAGGATTTGTGCTGTGAAAAGCAGCAGTTAATTAACACCTCTGGGCTGGAGGAGCTCTAGCCAGATAGTGATGCACTTGTTCCTTTCTAAGTGGAGCTTCTGTTGGGACTTGCATCCATTTATGTGCTCACTGATGGACTTGCAATGATAAATTGTTTCAATAAACGAATACAGGCCAAGAGAGAAACTCCCAAGGGAGTGGGAACAAGTAGTTCCCAACTACAGGAGCAATGTTGCAACTGCTCTGTTTACCTAATCACTTGATGCTTGTTTTCCTAGAGAAACAAGGGAGAGGTGGCATGCATAAGCAACTCTAGTTACAAGGAAAAGCCAGGCTTGATTTTGACCATTATTATTTAATGGATTTATCTTAGAAGCTTTTAAAATTTGTTCTGAGAAAAGTATATGCTGACTTTATGGCCTTATGGCCTTACATCTGAATGCATCCAAATGTGAAGATTGATCAGTGCAAACTGATGCCTGAAGCTGGGAATGTATTTCTTTTTTTATTTTTCCCTAAAAATTTTCGAACACCTGTAATTCTTTCTTATTTCTGTCATGATCTGTAGTACTTGTAAATTAGATTGTATTTGTTATCATGTAACTCAAGTTGGCAGGGAGATGGGCAAGCCCTAGGCAGGAAGTATTATGAAAATTTTAGATGGGTGGCAGCACGAAACTCCCACAGCTGTTTGGAACAAGATAAGAATGTGTCATACGATAGCTTCATGGACTTGGGAATAGTTTGGAAACAATTGAATGTTTGGGAATAAAAGCGTGGAAAAATCATTCTGAAACTGCTGAAGAAAAGAAATGATGTAGATGTTTCACAAGAGGTAAGAGTGGTTGTTACAGCTTCTTCTCTGAGAATTTTGTAGAAGTTGTAGGTGAGAGTTCTGTTATCCTGAGCCTCACTTATGGAAACAGAAATGTGGCTAGAAACACTGATGTGAAAAAGCAGGTCTTGTGACTAGGTGCAGATTCAAAGGCTGATTTTCTGACCTGGGAAACTGGTTCTAATCTGTGGAGATCTCTGCAGCAGCAATAACTCAATGTAGATAAATACCTGTAGCAACAGGTGCAAGCAAAGTGCAGATGTTGACCAATTATATTTTATTTTTTTAACCTGATACTCTTTCAAAAGAATTTTTTTGTTTGTTTCTTGTGTAATGTGAATATCACTGAAGAGGGCTGACTGGGAGATAAAATATTTTAGTGTTATCAATATTGAGATCTGAAATCAGAATTAGTATCAAATTATTCTTGTATCTGTGCTAGACTTCTGATATCACAATTTCCAAGACAGTTTTTTTGTTGTAAGTGCCAACAGAGAGTTTGTACTATGGAGAACACACTAGTTGTGTTTCTCTCCACACTAGCGAGAGAAAGCTTATGATGAACCCTTGTAGTCCGGTGTGTGTTAAGGTGGTCTGAAAGCTAATACTAACCTTTAATTCTTTGAACAGTGTTTGCATTTTCAGTAATATCCTTCTTAATTACCTTTAAGATTGTGAATTTATATTCAGAAGGATAATAAACAGAATGTGGCAGCTTGGATAATTAAATAGTGCACTCAAGATTAATTAAAAAATTCATCTTCCTTTCAATAATGCAGTGTGACAGATGACCAGTGAGTTTATGTGCATAGGTGTATCAGAGGAAGAGGGAAAACAATAAGATTGTTCGTCGTAATTATTTTGTCCAATTTGGTTACCTTTACTTAAGCATCCTATCCTGTAAAGTGTAAACTAGAGACTAATCCTTCAATATTTGCAAGATATATGCCTTAAAAAAAAAAAGGTACTTTTTAATGCAGTGAACAAGAAAATAAATCCAGATGTGTGAAATGGTCAGAGTGTGGAATGTAATGAATTAGTCAGCTAAGACAGTGAGTGAAATGTGGTAACACAGACTGAAAGGCAAAGGGCATCACTGCATGTATTGTCAAAACAAATAATGAAAGGTTTGGGAACAAAGCAAAAGGAGAGGTACTGAAGTGATTGTGTTTACATCTAACTTTATTTAAACACTTCTTCTGTAGGATAATACTGCGAGGTGACCTGCAGCTTTTCAAGCTTTTCTGTATGATACTGTGAAATGTACTGTGTAACTGAGATCTTGATAGCCTGAAATCTTTGGAAGTAGAAGGTGGAAGGCATGTATTCAGCATTTGCTGAGACTTAGGCTTCTTTAATTCTTTGCTTCCGAACTGACATCTTCTAAACCACTGTTTGTGAAAGAAAACTTTCACTGATGTAATAGACAACAATTTTCAAAATGTCTTTTACTGTTGCATGTTCAATTTTTTCAGAGCAAACTTATTTTTGCAGAAGGCATTAAGGCCCACATGTATATGTGTGGGCCTTAATGATTAAAATCTGGTTGCCCGAAAATATCTCACGGGCACCCAGCTCATGCAGAGTCTCCCAGTAGAATGGGAAGGATGGCACTGAGTTCCTGAGCTTCAAGAGTCTTGTTTCATAGGGAATTTTTCAGAAAATTATTCTCTTAAAATGCTTGAAGTCTGGTTGGTACTATGGTGAGGAAGAATAGTCAGATGTGGTCACATATTCTCTCTGGGATAGGATCATAGCATATCCTGAGCTAGAAGGGCCCATAAGGATAATCAAGTCCAACCCACCTAGAGCAAGATAGGCTGCAATGTACTTTATTTCAGCCCAGCCAGATACAGCTTTTGGCAATACCTGAACTTTCTTGTGTAATCGTTAACTTCTGTGAACTTCCGTGTGGTTCAGATGGACTCCAGCTGTCTGTATTTTCAGTTAATTTTGTTTGTAAGTAGCAGTTCTTTTCACTACAGAAATCTGCAGAGCTGTGATCCTTCAAAGACAGAGTAATGACTTTGTTTCTCTCATCTTCACAGGAACTGATATTCAATGGCTAGAAACAGAGGCGACAAGTGGCTGAAATGAATATGACTGCTATTCTCCAAGAGATCTTGATTAAAAGGTCACAACAGAAGAAGAGGACTTCTCCTTTAAACTACAAAGAGAGGCTTTTTGTACTTACAAATTCTATGTTAACATATTATGAAGGTCGAGCAGAGGTAGGAGATACAGATTTATATGATAGGCTGCCTTTGTTTGTTCTTTTGTTTGCTTTTTTTCCCTGTAGGGTATCATACAGTCAGGGAATGGATAAGGTGGATGGCAGTGAACATAAACCACTGATTCTTATTCCTCTTATTTATAATATATGTTTCCTGAAGTGCAGATTATGTATCTGGTAGTGTAAACTAATTCCTAATTGGGGCAGTAGTACATGGCCAGGATGCCAATAACAAAGTAAAAGATGGTTGCTAAGAGCTGCTTTCTTTCTCTCTTATCTTTAATGGTTTTATTTCTGGATCTTTCTGATGGAAGGGTCTTGGCATAATTTTACTGCTGGCATTTGTCACTCGCTGTTAATAATTATTTCCCAAGTGGTTACAGCATCGTTCTTTCTGAATATGGCATATTGGATATTGTGCTAGAAAGGCTTCTGTAAGAAATTTACATTTTCCCTACTAATGGGACGTCCTTTAGTTTTTCAGTTGATTCTCACATAGGATTTTCTGTATGGTATGTTCTCACTGAAGAGTTTGTTGTAACTTTGCTGTTGCCCTTCTTTGGCTTCTATCCATGTGTAACCTTCTTTTACATGAGTTTTGGAAGATTTTTCAAATAGACTTCCTTACACTGCTATGGAAAAAGCCTTGATTGTTTTTCTGCTCCAAATTGGGCTGGCCAGCCCCAACTTGTATGTGGCAGTGAGACTGTGAACTTCCTTCCACATCTGTAAAGTAACTGGCTTCCAAATTCTAACAGGAGCATGAACATGTGGTAGGCACTACAGACCAAGTTCACTAGGGATGGGCTCAATTAGGATGGATCCTGCAGCCTAGCGATTGAAGTGAAGCTGGAAGCAATTTCTTTGGCAGCACTAACAACCCATCTCTATGTAAATTTAATGTAAATTCAGTTACGTGACAAGTCAACAGTGTACACTAGGCAAATCTTCAGACCAGCATTTTTCAGAGGAGATCTGGATTCAGTTTCATCAGGATCATCTGTCTCTGAAGTATCCCATCACGCAGTTAGTGCTGAGGGGTCACACTTTCCATGTAACAGAGCCTGCCTTCCAGATTTGTCATGGTGAAGACAGCAATTAAAATGGCTGCAATATCTAGAAGAGCTTTTGCTACACACGGGATAGCTGTACAATGAATAAAATGTAATGGAGATGTCTCTGCATCTCTTCTGTTAGATGACTTACCTCTGGTGAAGAAGTCTGTTTAAGTGTGGTTCTCTGCTAGAGCCAGGGCTCACCACAGAATTGAGCTTTCTTACTGGAGGACCACAGCAGACTCTTGTAGCTGCCTGTTACATCTCACCCAAACATACCACAGAAAGTGGTTTTTGTTGGTCCTTTACTCTGCCATTTTTCTGCACGTAGCTTGTGTGCGGTCAAGGATTAAAAACAAGAAACAGATTTCTGTATTTTTTTTGTATTTTTCACTGACTGCTGCAATAAAATACGCATTTATTTTAGAATACAACCAATCTTCCTTTCCCTTTCCTTCAAAGAAACCGTAGGAGAAAGCTAAGAAGCCCTCTGGAACATGTCTTGCATGCTTTTTTGTGTGTGTGTATGTATGAGCCTACATTCAGTCCAGGCAGAACTGTTACAAACAGGTTTTTCAGGTCTAGTTGTTATCTTTCAAGAAGTCACCACTTCCAGCTTTATACCACCTTTAAACTGCAGGTTTGCTTGCAGTGAGATGGAGTAGGACATCGTGCCCTCAGCTGTGGGGACAGTAGCTTCTTGAAATGTTCCAGTTTGAGGTCAGGACTGTTGGTATGAAACTACATACTACACCTACACAGCCCAGCTGTGGAAAGAGACAAATCAATTTCCTCCCTGTCCTCACCTTGCAGCACCCTCACCCTACTTGAGTTGGCCCTGGCATTTCTTGGGCTCTGCGATGCTCTGAAGTCATTTTTCATCAGCAGAAGGATGCTTGGTGCGTTTTTGTTTTTGCCAGGTGAGCGTTATGCTGGGTTAGGAAGCTGCATTAGCTCCATGTAGGATCTGATGTGCCAGAGACAATGTCAGGTGGCGGAGGAGGACAGAATGCTCCAGCTGTTGGCATCACAGGTTGTCAGACTGGCTTAGCCACAGCATACAGCTTTACAACCCATGCCTCCAATCCGTTTTCGTCTTCAGTGTGCCTCCCACATTAGGTTCTTTTAAACATTAATCAGCGTTCTGTTTTACAGAGTGTGTCTGAAAATAATGAGTTCTGATCGTAGAGGAGCATGCAGTATCTCATGTCAGCAGTACTTGGGCTGTTTGAGAACTTACTGCATGACTAAGATCTCTGTCATGCAGCAGTAGTTATTCCTTTGTGTCACTGAGCAACTGAAATGGAAAAGGTTGAGGGTTTTATTCATCTATTTTAAGCCAATGTTGGTAGTTGTAAATCTGTATTAACAGTAAGACAGCTGTGTATTTTGGCTGAAGCAGTTTATGTGAAATGAAAAAAGTAATTGGAAATGAAAGTCGTGGTTCCTCTGAATAGTTGGATGTTTATTGCTGAAATGAAATGTGACTTACTGTTTGAACATAAAGGTATGGCAGATAAAGGGTATGTACAGACTAGTCTCTTTTCAGGGCTGACAGTGGACTTACCTTACCAGTCTGACCTGTTGGTCCTTTACAGAAATTCAGACTGTTAAGGTAAGTAAGGAAACCGAGGCCAAGAGAACTTCACAGCATCATTTTGGTCACATTGCTGCAGTGGGAGCAGTCAGTCCAGGGTGCTGAGCTCTGCTCCTCCAGGCAAGGATGTGATTCCCAGCATGGTCTCTGATAACTTTTTCAGTTTTGACTTCTACTGGGTACCTGGCAGAGAGTGTTCAGGAAGAACCCAGGGTTTATGTTCGTGTAAATAGTCATATCACTTATATTATTTATTATTAACGTTTTTTCTTAATTTATTTTATTAAAATTCAATGTTGTTAACCAGATAAGTCAGTACTCAAAGTGTGGGCAACCTGGGATTGTAAACGGAGAAACAGAAGAGGAGACTTGATATATCTGGTGGCAGAAGTGGAACATTTATGACAACAAAAAGCAGTCAACCACAGAAAAACGTTGTTGATGTAAATACTTCTGGGAGATCTCACTGACACCCCCCCTCTCCCAACCCCCCCCATTCTCTGCATCCAGTGGTAGGAGTTCACTTGCTCTTTGGCAACAAACTGCACAATGTATAAGTACTGTTCTCTATTTTTCTTTGTTATGTATTTTCTTTGTTATGTATTGCAAAGTGCTGTATGTCTACTTGGAGCATTAAGTGATTATCTCACAAGCATGACTGCTAGCAACAGGGTAATTGTTTTAGAACTAGTTCATAACCTGTTTAAAACTTAGCTTTTCATGCACTTTAAAGCAACCCAGGCACTCTGTCATTTTTGCACGGTGGTGCAATGTAGCCATATTGAATTTGGAACTGCACTACAGTCTTTAGAGGGAGAAATGGAGCTTCTTTGTCTAGATGTACTGTTGGGACATGAGTCATAGAAGCAGCATATGGGTTATCAAATCAATAAAGCATAGCTACAGAATCAGTGAAGAATATTTGCTTTAAGGCCGTTTAAAAAGATGGACGTTGAAAAGCTTGAGAATAAATATACATGAGGAACAGATTTGCCTGAAATGTCACAGAGATGAATTTTTAATATGTTGCCAGAAGACAGAAGTATTGTTTTCAAGCTAGAGGTGGTTTCTAGTTTTGGCTTTTAGGCCAAAATGGTGAAGTGAAAATGTTGGGGAAACACCATTATTGCAGTATAAAATTGTGCTAAAGTAATGGCAAGGATAGAAAAGGCAGCATTAATGTTGTCTGTTTCATGAAGTCTGCAAGGGTTAATTGGCAGCTCTTGGGGAGAGCATTTTCTGCCCTTTTCTCTTAGCATTGCAAAAGTGGCTAATGAGATCTGAATGAGATTGATTTCATTCGTGGTGAAGTCAAAATTAATCACAGTAAGAAATAACTGAAATGGCCTCTAAGCAGAGAGTACTGATCATGACGTATAAAAATAAGGAGATGTACTGCTGAGTGTTATAAAACTGTTTACCCTACAGTCAGTAAGATTTAAGATATGTACGGTGTTCTCATACATGCATTGTAGACTTTACCAAACCAGTTTTATAAATAGATTTTTTCACACAGTGGTAGTGACATCTGTTAAGAAGTGCATGGCTCTGAGTACCGTTGAACATTTTCTGTCAAGTCTGGCCTCCTTCTTGTGTATTCAACTTCAAATGCACTGGTTCTTGTTTTTGGAAATGTTGTGCATTTGTTCTCCCCACTGGCTGTCTGGAAAATCAAGACTTGGTTCTTATCTAGAAGCCTACCTTATCATAAAAATAGGAAATACTGCTGTAAATATCAGCTGCACGGTTTTAATTGAAAAGAATACTCACTTTACAGCTCCACTGGTGGACAGTGCAAGGACAGGCCAGGTACTCCTTCATGGAGTGATCATCAGCTGCTGTCAGAACAGCATCTTTTTTTCCTCTTGGGCTAGCCAACAGGGCAGACCACACAGAAAGAGCAATTCAAGCTGCTCTAACCCTCAGAATGGTCTACAAGTCCAAGAGCTTATGCTGTTTCTACTTGTATGGCAATAAGCTGTACTACTGTGAATTCTTTCTCAGCGAATGGTCAGAAGATGCATCTGAGCTGGACGATGTTATGGCAGTCAAGTCAGCTTATTTCTGTGTTACAGGACAGCTGTGATAGTAGGTGGTGTGTACTTTGCACAGGTTTTAGCCAGGTTGTGCTGATGAAGCAGCTTGCTTGAACTGAAAGCACCACTGCACCTGAGATTTGCACTATAGATAGCATTTTGGTTGAAGGAAATTCTTTGAGGTGAGGACAAGATGATAACGTAGGTGTTGAACAACTTCTTGCCATTAGAGCAGTTGAAAGAATCTGGCTTGTGCAAGCGAGCTGTCCTGCCAGCTTGCTGATTTGAAAAATTTCCTATTGATGTTGCT